CTCCCAACTTTGCTCGGCCGTTCTCGGAACTCCACATACTCTCGAGACTCTCCACGCTACAATTCGAGATGCACTCCACGACACACAAAGTACAGCTCCCGATTCTTCGGTTCAATCGTTTCCGAAGCTCAACACGCTCTCTCGATGATGCATTAACCGCGATACACTAATAGACTCCTTCGGTGCATCGACGATCCACTCTGCTTTCGCTGCTCGGCTGTCAACTCGATCCACTCCGCATGGACTAACTTGGGACACACTGACTTGCCATACATGAGGCACACTCTCTGACTGCACACCAGCAGGGTTTATATAGCTTTTGCCTTGTGTTTGAGAACATTCTGGGCTAAACCGGTAGAAATTAATTCCAGAAAGTTCTCTATCCCTGCATGGTATATCGTCAATTTTGGCGACTCTGGCGTCCCTTGCCATTTTATGGCAACCCTAAAACTGCTTTGTGGGGAAGCCATTTTACCACGCTTGTACATTTCATAACAATATTAATGTATGCAATCGGGGAAATTACAACTGCTGCATATGATAGCCCCACCCACAAACCATTCTGCTTGTACCTTTGAGTTTCAGTCCTTTTGCAGTACCATCTTTTGGCGATTTGGGAAACTTAATTTTTGGACAACTCTTGTAAGTAATGAAATAAGGAAATAAATGCAGTATAATCATTGTCTTAATCAACAATAAATATCTTCCTTAGAAATTTGCTACTAATTTTAAAGTAATAGACGTAATCTCACATTACTGATGTCAATAATTCTAATGGCTTCGACACAATTAAACTAAGAAATAATAACAAATGATATTACTTTACCATCAACAACATTTCACTATGGTTTAATTTACAATTCAGACTTATGCTAGATTAAAAATGCAGCGAAAATTTGTAACTTTACATTAGAATTAGAGTAAATAAATGAAATTTAAAATTTGAAATTTAAATTTTTTAGAAAAGCTATGAGACAATCAATTTAAACGGTTAAATTTAGGCTTCACTAATTTTTGTGTTATTTTACTTTTGTTTTAGCTCAGGGTTTCTAAAACTTTTCTTAGTCATGACACCTTTTTATAACCGAGATTTTTTTGCGACCCCCAGGAACCCATAATATTTACAAAAATTTTGTAAGACCTCATAAGTATTGTGCAAATCCGACTCACGCATGAGTGAAACTGGCAATTTTTTCACTTGTACTGTAATATACTATTGCAGTTTTAGGTCATTAACTTGAATTTGTAATTTTAAGACATAAAAAATGTGAAAATTTTAAATAAGTAACAGACAAAATGACAGCGTCAGGTGCAAAGCAAGGAAAATGAACGTTTATATCATAAAAAAATCTGATATGTACACCACATGACTTCTTTGTACGGAATATTAAATTATATGCATTTTTTCTTGCATTTCATTTAAGCTTATTGGATTGAATTAAATCTACATCATCGATAGCACATAAACCACAATAGAATAAATGCACTCTTAAAAAAATTCACTTGTTTACCATAGCGACACTCTGGCGCTAGGTTCACTTAATAGCCTTATATTTCGTTCATATTATAACTCAGAATGATCAAAATTTAGGTCATTTGAAGAATTACCTAAACGTTGCCCCATGTTCTATTCAAATACTATAATAAATCTAGAACGATGTACAAAAGAAATTAAGCAATCAAAACAAAAAAGAAACAGTTTTTCACAGACAATTTAGTATTTCTCATTCAATTAATTCAGTTCTCACTTTGCGACAAGGCAAAAATACATAAAAACTCAAAATACCCATATTAAAATTACAAAGTAAATCTTAAACACTTATTTCCTCGAAAAAATTCCAGAAAGGATTAAGCATGATTTAATTCGTAATAATAAATGAAGGCATTCTCTTTGTTGTTGCGAAGCTTAGTCTCGCTAGATTGGCAACAAATCTACTATTCTGCAGTCTCAAATGTAAACAAATATGTCTGCCATGTTATTTAAAACTTAAGGCTTAACCGCACTTAAGCAGCTTTTAAATTGTTGATAATTGTACAAATATTGCTTGCAGATTTACTAAAGGCATAAAAACCTTAACTGGAAGATAAGAACAACACAATTCAATCATTTTTAAAGCAAAAAATGCACAATTTTCAAACATATAAGCGTAAAGAAACTGAGATCACTGAGCCGGCTAACAGAGTGAATGTATATACTATAAATATATTTATATACGTTTGGTGCGGCCGATTGCAACCTAAATACGAGGTGCACATCTACATGTTATAGCAGTCCTATATACAAAATTTCAACGTTCTGAGGCTACTTGTTTTTCAGTTATGCGAGATACGTACGTACGCACGCACGTTCGTACAGATGCCACGAAAAATTCTCTTCAGAATTCATTTTAAAGCAGTTTTATAATTTTTTTGGAGGAAAAGAGTTTTTTATTTTGTCCTTACGTACAAATATGACGTAAAAACATCATTAAATTGCATTCGATAGCGATCAAAATGGATAGTTTCGTTGAAACATGCTGCCTGAAACTTATCGCGATTACAATACTTCCTTTTACTTCGTACAAGGAAGTAAAAAATGCGTTGAAATGCTTTCATTTTTTTCTTTATCTGTATTGTTTTATCTTTATCTATTTTCAGATACATTGTGTAAAAATATTTGGTAATTGTAAAAATATGTATTGTAATAACTTACAGAAATATCAAAACTGCTAAAATTTTTGGCTACTCCCTGCTGGAGGTCCCATGACCCACAGTTTAAGAAACCCTGTTTTAGCTAATCATTTTACATCACAGTTTTTGTCTAGAAACAAGTTATGACCTTGTGATGAATTAATTAATAATGATGAAAGGAAATTAATAATGATAAAGTCAATGGGTGACAAATGATATCTTCTCTGGCATAGCAGATAAATCTCAGCATTTCACTTTGTAATTTCTGATAACTCAGATGATCTACAGCATCTCCTTTCATCACCAAATGATCCCTAGTTTACATCCTAATCAGTGGATCAGCTGCAATCAAGCCAATCTTGTGGCCTGTTTAGTCATAACTATTGATACTACTGAATAATATCTATCAAACATAGCTACATAATTTACTTTTTATCTTCAAATGTGTAAATATGAGGCTGGTTCTAAGTATAAGTGATACAGACAGCTGATTAGAGGGTCAGTTTTGAAAGGCAGTAGCTAAGTTGTTCTCATAAGTAGCAACTAAATAAAGGTATGTATAATCAACAAACTAAATTTAACCCCTTAAGGACCAGTGTCAGGAGAACGAAGCGCAGTCACGGGACCGGACCCGCTGAAATGAATCGTCGCTACCAGCCTAAGTTTACCAAAAAAAAAAAAAAAAATTGTATGTTATCAGCATTTTGATATTATGACTTCAATTTTTGAAGTTGCGTATTTAATGTACTTGTTTTTAATGTGTATTAATATAAAAAATATCACATCAATAGAAATAAATTAAACAGGCAAAATACTAAAATGATTACTACACACACAGAAATATGCACTATAAACATAAAAAGAAATTACAAATAAGAAATAAAAACTAAACAAGAATTACCTGTAGGTAATTAAATTCCAATTTAAAAATTCTGCTGTGTGTGAAATAATTCAAAACAAGGATTGACACACAGTCCTACCTTGCATATTTTGCACTCAAAATACGTTTTATGTGCATCTTTCGCTTTTCCTTTGCTTTAGCAAAGCATCCTCTCCTACTTTTACTACTTTTTCCGTCAACATAAATTTTCGGAAACTGTATTCCAGTTAGATGGAAAGGTGGAGTGTCCGGTGAGTTTGGACGAATTTTTAAGTTTTTAAGTAAGGTCTCTTAGCCATGGCTAACGGAATGAAACTGAATATAACCCCAACACATATCCCAAAACTTCTTCAAAAGACACTCAAAAATATTTCATCCTCAAACCCTATGTGACATCAGGTTTATATTAGAAAACAGCATCTACGATGACTGGAAAGTGATCAAGGAAAGACCCCAACTGGCGGGATATCCATTACTGATCATGTCAATCTATACATTATATATAATTACATTATATGTAAAGTAAATACATTATATACCAAAATACAATACCTGCATCATTATATATAATGACCATTCAGAGCATTATATATAATAACCTATTAAATCGAGTTAGAAAAACAAAAACGCTGGAATTTTCCTAAAAAATGTGAGAAAGACACATTACACATCGAGAAAGCTGATAGTCTTTCGCCTTCTGTAATAATGCTGCAATGTTACTTTTTAATTAACCAAGAAAGCTTATGTTGAGTTTCAAAATAAATAGGAAAAAAAAAAAATCCTAACAAAATAAAACAAAAACGCTTGTGCTTCTTTAATTCACAGGCACACTTATAAAAAGCCGTGATTTCCAGTTTGTTTATTTCAATAAATCTCTCAAAACCAGAAGCACAAAACAGAAACTAATGCCAGTACATGAAGGTCAAATGCCATATGAATCAACCTATGTGAAAACAATTACCACTTAGCTCCACTTACTGGCTTTTAAAAATTCAAATAAATCATTGCATTTTAATGTTGCGTATATGCGACGCTGGGCTCGTAGGAGCAGAATCATTGCATCGCATATATGGACACTTGGCTGGTAGGAGTGGAATTGTTGCGTCGCATATACATGATGCTGGTCCTAAACGGGTTAAATGAGAGACCAGCTGTACTGATCATTTAGAGCACTGAAAAAGCAGTAGGCTTTTACATAAATAGCTTAAGTTAATGCTTATTTTACTTGAAAAATAACACATTAGTGTGGTTTAATTAAATGTAAACAACATATTTTTGGCGTTTAGTACATATTTTTCTATTTACATTAGATAAAGTCTAACTTTTCACTAATTTGATTTATATCACTTCAGGCATGTAGCACAAGCATAAAAGAAAGCTAGGTAGTTAATAAGTTTGATACTTTTGATTTTTTTTTTAATGAGAAGCAGCAAATGAGCATTTATCTTACCTCTTTTTCTTCTTGCAGATTATGTACAGCTTTTTGCAATTCTTCAATTTTTTTTAAGCTTTCAACATGAACTGCATTCTCTTGTTCCTCTTTCACTGGACTTAAATTTTCACGATTTTCAATAATCTCTTTAATATTTATAAATTTATTGCCCTGTCCACAAAAGAATGCGTACACATAAAAAACATATTTCTATATAAAGCTCATTAACTTATATTTTTACACTTTTTAAAAAATAATATGCATAATTCAGACCTTTCAAACTTACCAAATTTTCAGAAGCAAATTTTTCAATACGTTCCACAAGCAGATTTTTTTGTTGCAGCTGCATCTGCGATGAATATTGTAAAATTATAAATAAATGTCAATTTACATAAATTTATTGCTCAGAAAAATGATTTGCATGTAAAATTAAACATACTAAACTTGTTAACCTTTCTCTTATAAAACAACTAAAATAAAAAATTTTAAAACCCAATATAGCCTAGCAATCAAAAGGTAAATTTAAATTTCATACTTGTTTGAAAATTCACAATGTTATGAATTCATTAAACATACTTATAAACACATAATTATACTATTGACCATTAAAATTGCTACACCAGGAAGGAAAACAAATAGCAGAATCTTTATTACTGTTCATATATGTGGATTAGCATCGTTCATTTATAATCGGATGACGCGACAAGCTGTGAGAGGAAATCTTTCACTTTTTCGCTGACGAAGGCAGACGATTCCGCCATTAAGACGATGACGCGATTCAAAGATGTTTGCTTGTAAAATGCGATTCCTTCTCTTCGTTTGTAAATAATCTCATCTATTTCCTTCTATGTATGTAATTACTTTGTAGTTTGTAGCAACTATTCATGTTTCATTAAATATTCAAGTTATTTGTAAATTGGACTAGTTTATTAGCCCCTAGACAGCCACATTGGAAGTAAGTTTACGAACATCATATTCCTAGACAGTAAGTACCGATTCTACAGATTTGGGCGCTCAGGCCGGTATGAGCCTAGGAAGAAGCATTATGAATATTACAAAATAAGTAAGTTTTGTTTCGATTATTTCCACATTGTTACTTCTAAGAATAGTGTTCTATGATACTGTGAATTAAGATGACTACCTTAAATTCTATTCCTAGAATTTCAGATTCTTTAAAGACTGGGCCTACTAAGTCAATTAAACTTTTACATCAAATTGTGTTTGGAACTTTAGGTGATCGAAAAAATAGAGCTAGATTGCGTAACTTTTGTGGTTTTCCATCTGATTTTAATATTGAAGAAACAAAACAAAAATTACTTAAAACTTTTACTGCAAATGATTTTATTTCTGTGTGAAATTTGTTACATCTTAATTATGATTCAAATCCTGATAAAAACTGTGATTTAATATTGAATAGTCTTTGTGATTTTAAGCTTTTAAAATCCGAAAGTGATGACAATGATGAGTTATCTGAAAATGAAAGTGTTTATGATTCTGATAAAAATGATGATATTAAGTCTGTCCTGTCAGAATCACCTCCCATAAATAACTCAGTGAATGAAAACATTAATAATGCCTAGCAATATTTTTACATTTTCGTGATATTTTAGAAACTGTTTCTTAATTTAATGGCACTGATACATATCCAGTTGAATCCTTCATTGGTGATTTAGAAGGATCTTTTAAATTATTTAAGTTATCGGAATTACAGAAAATTGTGTTTGCTAAAAAATTGCTGGTTCTGCTAAAGTATTTATTAGGTCTTTGAAAGGTATCATATCATGGGACAAATTAAAGGAAAATCTTTTATCTGAATTTGGTTCTAAAATAAACAGTGCACAATTTCATAATTTGTTACAGAAACGACACTTAAAACCTGGTGAATCACTTTCCGAATATTTAATTGCCATGCGTGAAATAGCCAGTCGCTGTTGATGATTCATCAATTCTTGATTATGTAATCAATGGGATACCAGATCAGAGTAGTAACAAAATTGTTTTGTACGGTTGTAAAACTATTTCTGAATTCAAAGAGAAATTAAAAATTTATGAGAAAATTCGCGTTCCAGATACGAAGAATAAGGGTTATTCAAGTACTAACACACAAAATAAAACACGCGCTGTACCTAGTAAGATTAAAGAGCCAAGGTGTTATAATTGCGGAAGTTTAGGTCATAAGTCTAATTTTTGTAACAATAAGAGTAAAGGATTTAAGTGTTTTAAATGCAATTTGTTTGGACACAAAGCCGTAGATTGTTCGAAAACATCATCTAAAAATATCCAAGATGCTAAAGCTGTTACTCCAATAACTCAGACTTGTCAGAAAGAAATGCATAAAATTGTTAATTTGGGTAATTTGCAAATTGATGCTTTAATAGATACTGGTAGTCAGGTAACGTTAATCCGAGAAGATACACATAAGAAGATAGGTTCTCCTGAACTTAAGTCGGCAGATCTACAGTTAACGGGGTTTGGTAATGGGAAAATTAAGCCTATAGGAAGATTTGAAGGTGAATTCGAAATTGATGGTTCTTCATTTCGATCAAATATTTGTGTTATTGCAGAAAACAAAATGTTTTTACAAGCGATCATTGGTACTGATATTATAAGGCAAGGGGAATTAACTGTAAATAAAAAAGGAGTCGAAATTAGAAAATTGCAACCTGAAAACTATTTGATGTGCATTCGTGATATTTATAATGACGAGGAAATTGATTTAAGCCATATCAAAGACGGAGGTACATAGAGAATGAAAAAATACTACACTTAGTAAGGAATTATGAGCCGAATAAAATAAAAACATCTGGCCTGAAGATGCGAATAGTGCTGACAGATCAACTTCCGGTTTATTGCTCGCCGCGACGCTTTTTTCCCCAGAGCTGAGCAGCGTGAAATTGATAAACAGATTTCGGAGTGGTTGGAGAAACAAATCATTAAACAAAGCTGTTCTGATTACGCAAGTAATATCATGCTAAGTAGAAAAAAATGTGGCTCATGGAGACTTTGAGTGGATTATTGGCGCCTGAATAAAAAAATAATTCGCAATCGCTTTCCTCTGCCATTAATTGATGATGTTATTGATAAATTACAAGCAGCAATGGTATTTACAACACTAGATTTAAAGAACGGATTTTTTCATGCTGAAGGGGACGAGGAAAGTAGAAAATACACATCCTTCGTGACACAAAACGGACAGTATGAATTTCTGAGGGTCCCGTTCGGTCTTGCCAACAGCCCAAGTGTTTTCCAAAGATACATGTACGATATATTTTGTGATCTTTTAAAGGACAATATTGTTGTAATCTATATGGACGACATCATTATTCCTTCCAAAAATGAAGCTCAGGGAATTCAAAAATTGAAACGCGTATTACAGACTGCATCGGAATATGGACTAGAACTAAACATTAAGAAATGTCAATTTTTGAAGCGCGAAATCGAATTTTTAGGACACAAAATTAAAGATGGGAAATTATATCCTTCTTCTTCTAAAACGAAAGCAGTAATTAACTTTCCAGAACCTAGATGTGTAAAAGATGTTCAAAGTTATTTAGGTTTAATTGGTTACTTCAGAAAATTTATACCTAATTATTCATTAATTGCAAAACCGCTTAGTGATTTACTGAAGAAAGATTCTAAATTTAAATTCAAAACTAAAGAACTTTATGCTTTTAACGAATTGAAACGCATATTGACATCAGAACCTGTTTTGTGTATTTATAATCCGAAAGCAGAAACCGAAATACACACTGATGCTAGTGCTGACGGTTATGGTGCGGTTCTGTTACAGAAATCCTTAATTGATAATCAGATGCATCCGGTTTATTATATGAGTAGGAAAACGACAGACATTGAACGTTAATATTCGAGCTACGAATTAGAGGTTAAAGCAGTAGTAGAAGCTCTTAAAAAATTCAGGGTGTACGTATTAGGCATACCATTTAAAATCGTGACAGATTGTAATGCATTCAAACAAACTATGAGCAAGAAAGACATTTGTACTAAAATATCTAGATGGGCATTAATGTTACAAGATTAGGATTACACAATCGAACACAGATCTGGCACCCGTATGGGACATGTGGATGCTCTTAGTCGAAATCCTGTATGTATGGTAATTCAAGATGGTATAACATTTAAAATAATTCAAGCTCAAGAAACTGATGAAAATATAAAAGTTATAAAAGAAGTTTTGAAGTCTAAGCCATATGAAGATTATTGTTTGCGGAAGTAGTACCTGAGATTCTGAAAATTGAAGTACTTAAAGACGCACATGAACGAGGTCATTTTGCTGCCAAACGTACTGAAGACATGTGAGACAACATTTTTATATCCCTAAATTGAAAGAGAAATTGAAAATGTATCGCAAATTGTATTACCTGTATACTGGCCAACCGGAAATCTGGAAAGAAGGAAGGATTATTACATCCTTTACCTAAAGAAGATATTCCTCTAAGCGCTTACACATGACATTTAGGACCTTTGAAGAGTTTCTAACAGAATTATAATACATTTTTCGCGGTTATGATTCGTTTACAAAATTTGTTTGGTTCATCCAACTAAAACCACCTCTAGTGAAGAAGTAATAGCTAAACTTGAAATTCAAAAATCATTATTGGAAATCCCTGCAATATTAGTAGCTGACAGAGGTACTGCATTTACTTCTCAAGAATTTGCTGATTATTGTACTAAGAAAAATATTCATCTATCGTTAATCACAACAGGATTACCAAGAGTCAATGGACAAGTAGAGCGGTTGAATTCCACTATCATATCAGTCATTTCAAAGTTGGCTATAGATGACCTTACGAAATGGTACAAACACGTAAATGATGTCCAGCAATAATTAATTCGACTTTTCAGAGGAGTATCAATTCGACCCCCTTTGAGCTTTTTGTTTGGTCGAAGATAAAGACGATAAAGACAGGAAGATTAAGAACTAATAGAAGCTAAAATCCAGAAGGATTTTCGAGTCTAGAGAAATCTACGTAAAGAGGCAAAGCAGATTCGGAAGATCCAGGAAGAGAATCGAAAGACTTACAATCGAAGTCGAAAACTCCCTCGTAAATACAAGATCAATGATATGGTAGCTATTAAACGCACTCAACTAGGGCCAGGTATAAAGCTAAAATCTAAGTTTTTGGTCCATACAAAATCACCAAGGTGAAACCTAATGACACATACGATGTGGAGAAGGTTGGTTTTACCGAAGGACCTTCAGACTAGTACCTGTGCTGAATACCTGAAACCATGGACAGATCTTTGATAATGAATACCAATTTTGATGATTCCTAATTATAAACTTTTCCCAGGTTGACAAATTTTCTCCCCATTTTGACTAATGGCTTG